GCCATTAACCTAACATGTTATGGAATAGTGGCCACTTTACTAACGTACAGAACATGGTGGCACTTTACCTAACATACAGAACATGGTGGCCACTTAATCTAACATACAGAACATGGTGGCTACTTTACCTAACATAAAGAACACTGGTGGCCACTTTAACCTAACATACAGAACATAATTGGCCCACTTAACCTAACAAAACACAACATGGTGGCCCACTTAACCTAGTGTGCCACTGAACAGAAACAGAACAACTAGGCACATCTTCATGCATGTAGGAAAACCACTTCACCAATTACTACGTGAGAAAGAAACTAAGAAAGAAGGTCAAACAAACACAAGCAAACCAACACACGGTGACCTCCTCTCTCTGTGTGTGTGACCTTTCTAAAAGCTTAGGGTGGTCTTGTTTGCACTGGGTCCCTATTTGCTACATGCTCATTTTGTTTGCTCTGTGTTGTAGGTGTGTGTTTATTACCGTGTTTATTTTTGCTTTTTGTTTTATAATGTGTTTGTTTGTGTGTTTTATTTAGGTGTGTTTTGTTTGCTGTCAATGTTTGTAGGTATTTATTTTCTTTTAGTGGTTTTTGTTTTGTGAGTTTGTATGTTTGTGGCCGTTATTCTCTCTCTCCTCTCTCTCTCTCTCTCTCTCTCCTCTCTCTCTCTCTCTCTCTCTCTCTCTCTCTCTCTCTCTCTCATTAAAACTCAAACACAAAAGGTGACTACTATGTATATATATTACGTTGTAATAGTTAGCATCCTCGCCTCGCAGCAAGTGGACAGGTTCGATCACCGGGCAGGGTGGCTTATGGGCAAGTTTCTTTTACGCCGACACTCTGTCTACCCCGGCAGTAATTGGGAACCTGTGGATGTTCATCGATTGCGGATCATGTTCCGGGGTAATGGTTATGTAGTGCAGTTGGCAGAGTTGTCCGGCCTTCTCAGACTATTCCTTGTCACTGAGTCATGTGCAACTCGTTAACTCAAGTGTAGTTGTTGTGTTGGCGACAGCTTCTACACCTTAAACAAATTCACGCCTAGGTGGCCCTTGGACCGGCCATCCTCACTTTACAAGGCAACCATTACAGTATGTATGTATGTACAGGCTCTTGTTATAGGTACAGAAGTCTTATACTCACATTAAAATTCTTCCTACTTTCATGTGGTTTAGATACAGGTGTGTTTGAGAAGGTGGAGGTGGGTGAGAACATGAGGGAGGAGGGGGGAAAGAGTAGAGAGACGTTAGGAGGAAGGAGGTGTGAAAGAGAGTGGAGGAGGGTTAGGAGAGGGAAGGTAGGGGGAAGGGAGGGGAGCGGAGAGGGATAAGAATGGAGAGGGATATTAGAATTGAGAAAGGAGGAATAGGAGAGAGAGAGGTAAAATATCAGCGTTGGTGAGTCATTATCTTCTTATTAATACTTGTATTAACTTATTATCAGTGCACGCACTTAAATCATCTTCTTTAGAATTGAGACTTTTTTAATGCGACACAACCATAATTACCACAGGTTAGTGTACCAAATGAGACAATTCACACCTGATACCCATTTGGTGGTGGTGGGAGTAGGGTAGGAGTAGGGTTAGGGTACAGGGGTAGGGTAGGGTAGGAGTAAGGTAGAGTTAGGGTAGGGGTGAGTTAGGGTTAGGTTAGGGGTTGGGTAAGGGGTAGGTTAGGGTGGGTAGGGGTTGGGGTGGGGTGGTGGGGTAGGGGGTGGGGTTAGGGTGTTAGGGTGGGGTTAGGGTAGGGGTAGGGGTTAGGGTTAGGGGTGGGGAGTGGGGTAGGGTAGGGTTGGGTTAGGTTAGGTTGGGTGAGGGTTGGGTTTGGGGTGGGGTAGGGGTGGTGAGGGTGGGGTGGAGTGGGTAGGGTGGGGTAGGGTAGGTTAGGTTAGGGTAGGGTAGGGGTTGGATTAGGTTGGGTTAGGTTGGGTTAGGGGTTAGGGTTGGAGTGGGTTGGGTTTAGGTTGGGTTAGGTTAGGTTGGGGTTGAGGGATGAAATAGGTTGTTCTGAATCCGACAGTTCGAATTCTTACGTTCAAACTTAAGGTAAAATTTTACATACGTGTTTTGGAATATAGGAATCATTCATTGACTGGGGTTCTAGGGCGCCTTTGTTGGCCTCACTCCTGATAACTCGTTTGGGGCCCAGTAGAATCAGGAGTCTGTTGAAGGGATCATTCTCCGTTTCTAGACAGAGCAGCCACTGACATCATGTTATCTTCGATGTTACTTCCCCATGTTATCTTTGATGTTTTCCCATGTTATCTTCGTGATGTTACTTCCCATTGTTATCTTCGAGTGTTACTTTCCATTGTTATCTTCGATGTTACTTCCCATGTTATCTTCGATGTTACTTCCCATGTTATCTTCGATGTTACTTCCCCATGTTATCTTGATGTTACTTCCCCATTGTTTCTTCTGATGTTACTTCCCATGTTATTTGATTTAATGTTTGATGTTACTTCCATGTTATCTTTGATGTTACTTCCCTATTATTATCTTCGATGTTACTTCCCCATGTTATCTTTGATGTTACTTCCAATGTTATCTTTGATGTTACTTCATGTTATCTTATCTCCAACACCAATATTATAGTCATCAATCGTCGTAATACACAACAGCTTACTGGTTGTATTAAGTAAGGGTCTAAAACGCGGAATTTGTACGAAAACAAAAGACGATCGTGTTTTGTCTCATGGGAGAGTTGAGAGAGAGAGAGGAGATAAGGGAAATGAGAAAGAAAGAGAGAGAGAACAGAGAGAGAGAGAGAGAGAGAGAGGGGTGCGGTTTCCTAAAACTTTTCTTGGGGTGAATGTTACAAGAAGTGTGCAAGAAATATTTCTCTCTCTCTCTCTCTCTCTCTCTCTCTCTAAACAAACGATCGAATATTTTATCTGATTCTGTGTGCGTGTGTGTGTGTGTGTGTGTGTGTGTGTGTGTGTGTGTGTGTGTGTGTGTGTGTGTGTGTGTGTGTGTGTGTGTGTGTGTGTGTGTGCGCGCATAAAACACCTACATAATGTAAAACTAGTGGCTGGAGCTCAGATGGGCTAATCTTGCTGAGGGCTGATGGTCTTTTAGGGCTAGTCTTGCTGCTAGGGCCCCTGTCAGTTTGTATGGGCTCATCTTTGCTAGGGGCTAATCTGCTGAGGCCCCAGTCTTGCTGCTGGGGGCCCAGTCTTTGCTGCTAGAGCTGTCTTGTTCTGTGGGCCCCAGTCTTGCTGCTAGGGGCCCCAATCTTGTTCTATGGGCCCCAGTCTTGCTGCTTTGGGCCCAATCTTGTTTCTTGGGCCCAGTCTTTTAGGGGCTGTTGTGTGGGCTGATCTTGCTGTTAGGGCCCCAGTCTTGTGCTATGGGCCCCAGTCTTGCATAGGGGCCTTTAGTCTTCTCCAGGGGCCCCCAGTCCTAGGGCCACCGGTTAGATCTAGTCTGACATTAATTGCTGGGTCATTCTAATGGATCGATTTGGTTGGGGCCAATAGGACTAAGGGAGAGGTTAGGTTAGGTTAGGTTGCGGCCCATTAAGACGAAGGGAGATTACGTTAGGTTATGTTGGGGCCCATTAGGACGGACCCAATCCAATAATAGGTAAGGGTTAGGTTAGGGCCCATTGGGACGGGAGGTGGGGGCAATCTGACCCTCCTCAGGGTGTGTTCACAAGGACCTGCTGCTGGAGGTTACATAATGTACCGGGGAGGAGGGCATATTGTACCGGGGGAGGCATATTTAACCTGGGGAAGGAGGCATATTCTACTGGGAAGGAGGGGCATATTGTACTGGGGGAGACATATTGTACCGGGGAATGGAGGGCATATTGTACCGGAAGGGAGGGCATATTGTACCAGGGGAAGGAGGGCATATTGTACCGGGGAAAGGAGGGGCATATTGTGGGGAAGGAGGGCATATTTGTACCGGGGGTTGGGGATGGAAGGTGTTTACATTACAAGATCATCTCTCAAAAATGGACAAAAATGCTGACAGAGGTGGTAAAGGTTGTCTTCAAGATTGCATAATTTAGATGGATAGCATCAGGGGTGGTATAGCATGGGTGTGTATCGTTAGCATAGCGGATAACGAGAGGATAGACAAGGCATAGCATGGATTATATAGGCTGTTTGTATCGTAGTATCGTATTGTATAGTGGATAACGAGAGGTTGGTTACGTAAGGCATAGCAAGTATTATGTATATATAGCATTTGAGGTTCGCATTCCTAGCAGTTAATGCATGGGATTGATTCATAGCATTGAAGTATCGCAACGCACCAGACCAACATCACACAGTTAAGATTACATCGCATCCTAAAAGATAAAAAATACAGAATTATATCGCCATTCCTGTATCGCAATACATCGCACTTCATATCACAACAGTACATAACACATCATTAATAACGAAAATATAGACAAAAAAAATATAGCATTACATAGCATCTCACACCTTACATTATCATTACAACAGAAAACAATATTTATCCATTAAAAACAAACACGGTATCACAAAGCACAGTGCCTGCGGACGCTTTGGGAGGGTAACTCAAATAAAGTCAGCGGCGCGTTGTATTCTGGATGACCCCGTGCCCACTACCCCTCCACGTCCCGGTCATTGCTCGCTGCCCTTGTTATTCCAGCCCAGCCAACAACCTGTCCTCAGCACTTCTTCTCCTCCTCAAACCACTGGTGCTGAGGAGGGGAGGGAGTGGGGTGAGGGGAGGTGAGGGGGAGGGGTTATTGGGGATAGCAGCTGGGATGACTAGCTATCCTCCTTCTGTTTTGTCTAGGCAACTTATTGTCTACCTATCTGTCTCTTGATAAGCTTGAATTTCTGGATTGATTTAAAGTTGAGGTTGAGTTAAGTTGAGTTGTTGTTAAGTTAAGTTAGACGAATATTTAACTATAAAGAGGCAAAATATGCAATGTATATGGATGAATGTCTAGGTATAATTAATACACATAAAAATAGACCTTAATACACACATTTGTATTGTATATACCAGTTGATAGATACATGCAGGCAGACAGACTTTTAGTTAAACATATACATAGTAATTTATATAGTCCTCGGCTCAACCTCGTCCTCGACCCAACCTCGTCCTCGACTCAACCTCGTCCTCGACCCAACCTCGTCCTCGACCCAACCTCGTCCTCGACCAGCCTTGTCCTCGACCCAACCTCGTTTTCGACTCAACCTCGTCCTCGACCAACCGTCTTCGACCCAACCTCGTCCTCGACTCAACCTCGTCCTCGACCCAACCTCGTCCTCGACCAACCTCTTGTCTCGACCCATGTCCTCGACCCAACCTCGTCCTCGACCTATCATCCTCGACTCCTTCGTCCTCGGCCAAGCCGTGTCAACCAACCTCGTCCTCGACTAATTTGTCTCGAACCCAACCTCGTCCTCGACCAACCTCGTCTTCGACCCAACCTCGTCCTCGACCCAGCCTCGTCCTCGACTCAACCTCGTCCTCGACTCAACCTCGTCCTCCTCGACTCAACCACCTCCTCCTCGACTCAGCCACGTTAAAGTGACCTGGGGTTGTCCTTGAGATGACCCAACCCTGGCAGTGAGCCTCTATAATTTTAGCACGATAACTCTTGGCGTCTCTCTACGCCCTCTGCCACCTGCTCTGTGGGGGTGGAGTGAGTGTGTTGGAGAGATGTTTGTGTGTGAGGATGTGTGCATGGGGGGAAAGGATGTGTAGGATGTGTGTGTGTGTATATGTGAGACCTAGTTTGGTAGGGCAGAAGGCAAGTTATCGTGACATAGGAGAAAGTCATCCTTACAATCTTTCACCTCTTCCTTGATAGACAGACAGACAGACAGACAGACAGAACTATAGGGCAGAGTTAGAAGCTGATATATGGGAAGATAGATGAATGACAGACCTGGATGGATAGATAAATAACGACACACACACACACACACACACACACACAAAACAAGTGGCGTGTGAAAAGCGCATAGAACAACACTGCTGCTCAGTTGCAGATTTTAATGAATTCCACACTAACAGGTGGCGCTAGTATTGATGTGTGTGTACGTGTGTCTGCCTGCCTGCCTGCCTGCTTGCCTGCCTGCCTGCCCCTCTCTCTCTCTCTCCTACAGGTTACGTGTCTGTGTGTGCGTGTGTGTGTGTGTGTGTGTGGGGGGGGGCCTGTCTTGCCACATTGAAAGTGAAAGTTGGTTCGTGGCTCCCTTGGACACCAGATCAGGCAGGTTGGGCACAGGTGGTATAGTTGACAAAAGAAATGGAGCATGTAAGAAATATTAGGAGAAAAAGACGTAAAGACAGAAAAGAATGGAGAGAGAGAGTGTGTGTAAAGAGCACTAGGCACCTTATTAAAGAAACAACTTTCCTCTAACAAGCCTTGTGTATCAGCTATAAACAAAGCCTTCGCACACCACAAAAAACCTTAAAATTTGTGCAATAACGAACGCCTGATATCTTCAGACTCAAACAATAATAACTATTCTTTAATTTTTGTTCTATATAAAATCATCAATTACCGTTAAGCATATTCTAGTTTGTTAATTAACCCTTGTAATTAACGCAATTTTAATTAATAAACTAGTGTGATATCCTATGAGTTTTCCTTCGACCAATCAGTCCCTCTAGCAGCCATTGATTTGCTAGGGTGTGTAAGACGCTTACTAGTGGGCGGGCTTAGTCTGTTACATGACCACGAGGGTGTGTAGAGTGTGCTTGAGGAGGAAGGTGTTGCGTGAGGTGTGCTTGAGGGAGGAAGGGTGTTGCGTGGAGTGTGCTTGAGGGAGGAAGGGTGTTGCGTGAGTGTGCTTGAGGGAGGAAGGGTGTGGTGAGTGTGCTTGAGGAGGAAGGGTGTTGGGTGGAGTGTGCTTGAGGAGGGTGTTGCGTGAGTGTGTTGAGGAGAGGTGTTGCGTGAGTGTGCTTGAGGAGGAAGGGTGTTGCGTGAAAGTGCTTGAGGGAGGAAGGTGTTGCGTGTGGGGAGTGCTTGAGGAAGGGTGTTGCATGGGAGTGCTTGAGGGCAGGTGTTGCGTGGGAGTGCTTGAGGAGGCGGGTAATCTTACCGATAAATATTCCCACGATTCTCATGACCTTGGCAGTGATTCATGACTCCGACGGAAACTAATTATATGAGTGTGTGACTATCTCCTCCTCTTCCTCCCTCCTTCTCTCCCCTCTTTTCCTCTCCTCCTCTCCCTCTCTTTCCCTTTTCCTCCCTCCCTCTCTCCCTTTCCTCTCCCTCCTCCTCCTCTCTCTCCCTCCCTCTCTCTCCCTCCTTCTCCCTTTCCTTCCTCTCTTCCTTCCCTCCCTCCTTCACCTCCCTCCCTTTCCTCCTCCCTCCTCCTCCTCCCTCCCTCCCTCCCTCCCTCCCTCCCTCCCTCCCCTCCCTTCCTTCTACATCTATCCATCAGCATCCTACATCCTCTCCCATGTCGTCCCTCTCCATCCCACATAATCCCTCACCGCCCATCCCCTGTCCCTCACTCTACCCCTATTCCTCTCTCCCTCATCCTCTCACTCTATCCACTGACTGGCTATCCCTCCTCCACCCCTCACCCACCTCCACCCTCACCCACCACCACCCTCCCACCCACCCTCCACCCACTTACTCCACCCCATCAGGATAAGACTCACTCAGCTGTCACAACAAGTGGTAGTTAACAAATGGTGGTTAACACCGGTAGATTCACGCCATCAATACGCTCACTGCCTCTCAAAAGTGTTCCTGTGAGTCACCCTTCCGCTCTCACGGGGAACTGTGATTTTTAACCCTTTGTGTCTTGAGTTTAATCGTCCTCAAGGGTTAAATCATCGTCCTCAAAGGGTTAAAACACCGTCCTCAAAGGGTTAAATCATAGTCCTCAAAGTTAATCATCGTTCTCGAAGGGGGTTAAAACACCGTCCTCAAAGGGTTAAATCATCGTCCTCAAGGGTTAAATCATCGTCCTCAAGGGTTAAATCATCGTCCTCAAAGGTTAAATCATCGTCCTCAAAGGGTTAAATCATCGTCCTTAAAGGGTTAAATCATTCTCCTCAAGGGTTAATTCATCGTCCTCAAAGGTTTAATCATCGTCCTCAAAGGGTTAAATCATTTTCTCAAAGGTTGATTCATCGTCCTCAAAGGTTTAAATCATTCTCCTCAAACGGTTAATTCATCGTCCTCAAAGGGTTAAATCATAGTCCGTAAAGGGTTAAATCATTCTCCTCAAAGGGTTGATTCATCGTCCTCAAAGGGTTAAATCATTCTCCTCAAAGGGTTAATTCATCGTCCTCAAAGGTTTAAATTATCGTCCTTAAAGGGTTAAATCATTCTCCTCAAAGGGTTAATTCATCGTCCTCAAAGGTTTAAATCATCGTCCTCAAAGGTTAAATCATCGTCCTCAAAGGGTTAAATCATCGTCCTCAAAGGGTTAAATCATCGTCCTCAAAGGGTAAATCATCGTCCTAAGGGTTAAATCATTCTCCTCAAAGGGTTAATTCATCGTCCTCAAAGGTTTAAATCATCGTCCTCAAGGGTTAAATCATCGTCCTCAAAGGGTCAAACATCGTCCTCAAAGGGTTAAATCATCGTCCTCAAAGGGTTAAATCATCGTCCTCAAAGGGTTAAATCATCATCCTCAAAGGTTTAAAACATCGTCCTCAAAGGGTTAAATCATCGTCCTCAAGGGGTTAAATCATCGTCCTCAAAGGGTTAAAACATCGTCCTCAAGGGTTAAATCATCGTCCTCAAAGGGTTAAATCATCGTCCTCAAGGTTAAATCATCGTCCTCAAGAGTTTAAATCATCGTCCTCAAAGGGTTAATTCATCGTCCTCAAAGGGTTAAATCATCGTCCTCAAAGGGTTAAATCATCGTCCTTAAAGGGTTAAATCATCGTCCTCAAAGGGTTAATTCATCGTCCTCAAAGGGTTAATTCATCGTCCTCAGGGGTTAAATCATCGTCTCAAAGGGTTAAATCATCGTCCTCAAAGGGTCAAAAGTTGAAAGACTCTTATTGAGGTTTAAATGAGCCTTATCTCTTGTGTAGGGACTAAGACTCATTAACGGTACTAAGACCCTCGACCATCTTAATATTCAGAAATTGTTTGTTGTCTAATTTTGTTAAACTAAGACTCACGAACCATGCTTAAACACTCTTAGTATTCAGGAGTCTATCATGTAATCCTATTGAAACTAAGGCTAGGTGGGGAGAAGGTCATACTACAGGGCATTTCAACATAGTGACAGTGCAAAAAGATAAGACTGACAACACAACATACAGTACATATATTTTTTCTCACTTTTGATATTTTTTTAATTTTTGTATTTCTTTATTATTATTATTATTATTATTATTATTATTATTATTATTATTATTATTATTTTATTTTATTTTTTTTTTATTATAATATTTATTTACTGTACTATGAATTATTATTATTATTATTATTATTATTATTATTATTATTATTATTATTATTATTATTATTATTATTATTATTATTATTATTATTATTTGTAGTAGTAGTAGTGGCTAGTGACCTATGCCTGGAGAAGCTTAATCCTGTAAAAAAAGAAGAAAACACTGGTTTATTACAAGTTATTGATAATTTACAATGGTTGGGACTGGGCTGTTCTTATAGCGACTAGTTGGTACTGGTATGGGCTGGATGCGGTTGTGGTGTCGAACAGCAATTCAAGGAACGATCTGGGGTGGCATTTGGAGCCGGTGTCGAGGATGGTGCAGAAGCTTCTCACCAAATTTGCAGATGAACGTGGTGATGGCTGAGAGAGCCGAGGGTCATTGTGTTGAGCGCTTCTTGATATGTGGAGGAGGGGAGAGAATAATCTTACATGCCCTCTTTGCACTTTTTCTAGGTGTTTACGTTGTGTGGCATTTAGGAGGAAGACCAGGTGGGGAGGCATAGGTGGCTTAGAAGTATGAACGTTGAGTAAACACTGAGGGCTTGGTTGCAGGAACTCCGAGGGACTTGAGTCGGCGGAGGAGGTGAGACGGAACTGGAGGATTTGACAACTTCACTGACGTGTGTTTTCCAATTTAGTTTGTTGTCTATGGTGATGCCGAGGAGCTTAGTGGAATCTACAACCTGAGTGTATTGGGACCAAAGTAAGGAAGGAGGTGGACAATGTCGGAGGAGAGGTTGATGTGCATAACCATGGTCTTGGTATGGTGATGGAAGTGGTTGTTGGTGGCCCAGGTTTGGAGACTGTTCAATAAATCCTGGAGGGCGGTATAGTCGGGAGAGAGTTGTTGACACTGATCCCAATGGTGAGTCGTCGACATACACCTTTGTACATAACAGTTCGAGCAGTTCAACGAAATGAAGGATAGTTCACCTTTGGCTTTACGTTATATCTCATCCTTTGACTTTCCCTTGTAATGAATTGACGCTGTAACAAAATAGTTTGACAGGTGATATACTCACAGAATTATTGACGAAGCACTAAAGATATTGACAATGACAATAAAAGATTGAATAGTTTTAATATATATTTGACAATTAACATAAGCTTTGAATGGCATATATAGTAGTGATGTA